TTTCACAGCTTGCGAGAATTTCGGCCTCGTCAATTTTAGTTTGTGGCCGGGTCTCGTCAAATGAGCCGCAATGAGGCGTCATTTCGCCGCACTACTGCTGCGTGGTCGGCAGTTAGCGTCTTTAGAAGTCTTCCAGTTTCTCTGACGTTGTTGCTTTGTCCACAATTGCACCAGATCCTTAAGACGACTCGAAATGTCTTTTTGTCCTGGCAGTGTCTTTGGTTTTATTATCTGACTTTTTTGGTTGTATCGGGCCTGATTGTTGTTCGTCTGAACTGTTCCCCGCTTCGCATTGCCCTAATGAGGCAGTGTGTGATGTTGGTCACTTGACCTCCGACCACCACCCCCATTTTTGTGGGCGTAGGCTCTCCGTTCCACGCGCTTGTTTTCCCTATAGACCCCGTCCGATTTGATCCGAGCTTTGTCCGCAGCGCCTGGTGGGCGGAGTTCAAGCCTATAGCTCGATTGACTATACCAATTAAAGACCAACTTTCAAGCTCTAGGCTGTTCATCTTTTCATCGGTCCTGCCAATCAACTTCCCCTTCTCAAAGACGAAGTCGTGGTTCAGCTGTTGCACGTAAACATAGGTCAAAGACAGCTTGTCCTTACGGCTTATTGCAAGATAGTGTTCGTGAAATCTTGTACCCACGCGTTTGCTCGTTTTACCAGCATACATCACATTGCAATTTTTTTGCATGGTATGCTGTAGACCACTGCTGATTGTTTGGTTATTGGCAGCAGGTCTTTAGGGTTCATGCCTTGCTGTCTGATTGTGGAGATGGGTCTATGCGACACTCTGATCCCAAAAAGTTCTATGATCCGTGCTGTCGCTTCTGAAACCTTTTTCACGTAGGGGATTGCGGACCAGAATTTTGACTTAACTTCGTTCGACCGCTGAAAACGAAGTTTTTTGAGCCAGTTGCAACTGAAAGGCCTCGGATAATTGTTGGATTTCAATAGGGCATAAAAGTACTTCACCTCCTCTTGCTTCCCACTGTCGTCGTTACAGTGTGCTTGAACACGTCGGAAGAAGGTTTGGACACAACTGCGTTTGTGACAAACACAGTGGTTGCTTTGGAAGAGAATGTCAATACAAGCGAACATGCGA